ACGACGAGGACGAGGAGGAAAGGCTATGACATGTGACGCCTTTCGTTGCCACGTTGGACGGGCTCTCACGGAGTTCATGTGGGATGTCTCGGGACTGTCCTGGGTTCTTGTGAGGAGATCTCGAGGTCACCGTGGGGCCCCAGATGGCCGTTGAAGGCAGTGGCGCGGCTGTGCCTATTGGATTTTGAAGTTCATGTGCGTGCATGTGAAAAAAGGATGTCTAGATAAGCCCGCCCGTACGATGTCTGGATAAGCCTGTCATGTGTTGTACTGATGCTGTCGATTTGTTTTGACGTCAGAACCAACCTGGATTTGAGCTCACTGTCCGGCGTGACGGTAATGTTCATCCGGGTGTCTACTCTGTGCATGCTTGGCATAACTTTGCCACCACGGCCGCTTAGGTTGAAAAGGCGTCCGTTAATTTGAGCTAGGTCCTGGTGATGTTTGCAGCCTCAAGGGCCGAGGGGGGGTGTAAGAGATTACACCCCCCAGTCACACAGGATGGTCCCCGCCGCTTGGCCGAAAAAAAAGCGCCGCTTCCTACCTCGAATCCTCCTGGGGGTTTTGCAAGGAGGGGAAAGGAACATGAGGACACGGACCGGAGGAGGAAGAGGAGGTGAACGGCGAGGAGGAGGTCGGAGGAGGAGGATCGGAGGAGGATCGGAGGAGGATCGGAGGAGGGGGGGAGGGAGGAGGAGGAGTGCCGAGGAGTGCCGAGAAGTGCCAAGAATGCCGAGGAGTGCCGAGGAGGGCCGAGGAGTGCCGAGGAATGCCTCGGGGTGCCGAGGGGTGCCGAGGAGTGCCGACAGGGGAAGGAGAAGAGGAGGAGGAGGGGGGAGGGAGAGGAGGAAGGGGAGGAGGAGGAGGAGGAGGAGGAGGAAGAAGGAGGAGGAGGAGGAGCAGGAGGATCAGGAGGAGGAGGAGGAGCAGGAGGAGCAGGAGGAGAGGGAGGAATGCCTAGGAGCGCCTAGGAGCGCCGAGGATTACCGAGGAGTGCCGAGGAATACCGAGCAGTGCGGAGCGAGGAATACCGAGGAGTGCGGAGGAGTGCCGAGGAGTGCCGAGGAGTGCCTAGAGGGGAAGGAGAAGAGGAAGAGGAGGGGGGAAGGAGAAGAGGAAGGGGAGGAGGAGGAGGAGGAGGAGGGAGGAGGAGGAGGAGGGAGGAGGAGCTGGAGGAGGAGGAGCAGGAGGAGCAGGAGGTGCAGGAGGAGAGGTAGCGCCGAAGAGTGCCGAGGAGCGCCGATGGAGGAGGGAAAGGGGGTGGGGGAGGGGGCTCCGTACATCCACTGTGGCCCAGGTAAGCCATGTCCGAAGGCGGCGTACAGCGAGCCCATTGCGTTCGTGCACACACGACCCCTGTTTGAGCCCGCCCGAGGCCTTCCCAGACCCCCTCGAGTAATGAAAAATCATGACGGGAGGTTTTTCCTAATTTTCGGCCTCCGGGGGCCCTCACCGGGCCTCGGGAGTGTCAAAATACGACTCAGGATGCAAAGCCGGTCATGGGGAAAGGGTCGGGACCTCTGGGGGTCGACGTCATGAAAAAATCATTACGTCGGGGGTATGGGTTTCAGGGTCCTGGCGTTTTCCCATGGATCCAGGGTTTGCCATGCAGGGGTCCCGTCCGGAGAATCGGGCTGGAGAGGTCCGACTCGGAAATCGAACTCGGAAGTCGGAAATCCGAATTCGGATATCCGGGTTCCGGGTCCTGGGTTCCGGGTTCCAGGTTCCGGATTGGACCTCCGAGTTCGGATATCCGGATTGGTGGATATCCGGATTGGTGAATCCAGACCGGGTTCCGGTTTCAGGTTCCAGATTGGACCTCCGAATTCGGATATCCGGATTCGGGGTTCCGGGTTCCGAGTTCGAGGTTTCGGAATTGGACCTCCGAATTCGGATATCCGGTTTCCGGGTTTCCGGGTTCCAGGTTCCGGATTGGACGTCCGAATTCGGATAGTTATCCGGATTCGGGGTTCCGGGTTCCAGGTTCTGGATTGGGCCTCCGAGTTCGGGTATCCTGATTCCGGGCTCCGGGTTCCGGGTTCCAGGTTCCGGATTGGACCTCTGAGTTAATTCGGATGTGCGGATTCGTGGTTTTGGGTTCCAGATTCCAGGTTTGGGGTCGGGCTTCCGAATTCGGATATCCGGATTCCGGTTTCCGGGTTCCGGGTTCCAGGTTCCAGGTTGGACCTCCCAATTCGGATATGCGGATTCGTGGTTCCGGGTTCCGGATTCCAGCAAAACGAGGTATAAAGTTTAATTCGGCGTGAAAAAATGCGTTTCGCGCGTGCCCGCTCGAGGAAAGTCGACCCCCCACCTCGGATCCTCTATAAATGACGGGGTCCGCCCGAATAGTCCAATCCCAGGAAGCCCCAAGAGATTCCCAAGAAGCCCCAAGAGGCCACCCTCCGGGTTTTTGAGGGGGGAGGGGGGCGGGTCACTACCGGTTCGAACCCCCCCCCTTTCGCCGCCGAGCCGGGGAGAGTGGGGACATTGACACTGCTGGGGGCACTGGTGGGGACAGCGGGGACAATGGCGGGAACAGTGGGGACAGTCGGGCAGTGGTTGGAGCCGTGGAGAAAGTGGGGGAGAGTGGGACCGTGGTGGAAACAGTGGTGGGGACAGTGGGGACAGTGCGACAGTGGTGGGGGCACTGGTGGGGACAGCAGGGACGGTGGTGGAACCAGCGGGGACAGTGATGGTGAGGACTGATGCTGGGGAAAGCAGTGGGGGATGTGGTGCGGGCTGTGGTAGGGACCGGGAGTCGTTTGCTGGCGGTGAGCGTGGGGGGGGGAGGGGTTCGAACCGGTAGTGAGCCTTTCCGGTTTTCGAGGGGGGGGGGTCGAACCGGTAGTGACCCCCCCTGGTTTCCGAGGGGAGGGGGGGGGTTCGAACCGGTAGTGACACCCCCCCCAGTTTTCTGGAGGGGAGGGGGAGGGGGGTTCGAACCGGTAGTGACCCCCCCCTGGTTTTCTGGAGGAGAGGGGGGGGGGAGGGGGGGTCGAACCGGTAGTGACCCCCCCCGGTTTTCGAGGGGGGGGGGGGTGATAGGGGAGGGGGGAGGTTTTGCCGGGGCAAGGGGGGGGGATCCAGCAGGGGGGGGGATTTTCGGAAGGGGGGGGCGGGCCTGGGTTCCGGAGGAAGAGGGGGGGAATTTTCCACAGTAAAGAGGCGGTGGAACACGCTCTCACAGAAATCAGGACGTCGCATTTCTGGGCTGGCGTCTCAATTTTTCCGAGCCAGGCATTCTTCGGGCCCCGGGGCCCTCACAGATCGATCCGGCTCGAGAGATGACGCGGAAAGGTGGGGTCCAGGGCTCCGGTCGTGATTCTGCGATGCTGCAACTTTTGCGACGTCGGATCTCAGGGAGCCATGGGCCCCACCTTTCTGCACAATTGTTCGAGCCTGGCCGATCTGTGATGCAGTCAAGCCGCATAGTAAGGACGGGCAACCTTCCCAAGGGTACCCTTGCATCCTTGCCTCCTCGGTGCATCCTTGGCCACTTTCGTCGGCCGCGCCCCGCTCGAAAACTTCGGAATGGGCTTCCAAGGACCTTGCATCCTCATCGCGCATCCTCACTCTACGGTTTGGCTGTGGTCCCCAGGGCCCGACACGGCGCGGAAGCGCCCAGCAGCGCGAGCACAAAACAAATCCTGCGGGGCCCCCTCCTGACAGCAAGAGTGAAGAGGCGGGTCGACGGCATCGAGGCGAGAGCCGGCTGCCTGAATAGATTTGGGATTTGGACGCAGTCTCGATCAAGAGAAGCTGCTGCTGCCCAGACATCGGGCGTCTCGAAAAAATCGAGGCGGAGGTTTTTCTTAACCCAGACATCCGACGTCTCGATTTTTTCGAGACGCGGGCCCCCGACCTCCCGACCACTTCCCCAGGACCGGTTTTTCATCCCGAGTCGTTTTTTGACGCTCCCGAGGCCCGGCGAGGGCCCCGAGAGGCCGAAAACTGCGAAAAACCTCCGTCTCGATTTTCTCGAGACGCCCGATGTCTCTGGGAATCTCGGCCTCCCGCGGGGCCCTCGCCGGGCCTCGCCGGAGCGTCAAAAGAGACGACTCGGGAGGGAAAAACCGGCCCCGGGGAAGTGGTCGGGAGGTCGGGGGCCCGCGTCTCGAAAAAATCGAGACGTCGAATGTCTGGGATCCGACGTATATCGAAAACATTGGGCCAGCCGAAAAAATCGAGGCGGAGGTTTTTCCAAATCTCGGCCTCCCGGGGCCCTCGCCGGGCCTCGCCGGAGCGTCAAACGAGACGGCTCGGGAGGAGAAGAGGTCGGCCCCGGGGAAGCGGCGTCGGGCTATAGGTCGGGGCCCCCGCGTCTCGACACAATAGCGAGACGTCGGAGGTGTCTGGGTGGCCATTGGCGGTCTATATAGGGCCTCCCAGGCTCGCTTCACATCCGAGATCCCAGACCCCCTCGAGCAATGAAAAAATCACGACGGGAGGTTTCTCCAAATTTTCGGCCTCCGGGGGCCCTCACCGGGCCTCGGGAGCGTCTATAGGGCTTCCCTGACTCCGGATCCGCCCGACTTTAGCTTCTTTTCCAACTTCTGGCCATTAGCGGTCTATCCCCCACGGGCCTCCCACGCTCGAGGGCCTCCCACGCTCGAGGGGCCTCCCACGCTCGAGGGGCGCCTTCGGGCCTCCCAGGCTCGCTTCACATCTGGGAGTGTCGACGAAAAATAAAGAGTCCTCACAACATATTCCAGAACGGTCCAAAAATTACTCCAAAATTAGCCCCGTTCAATGTTGAACGGGGCTAATTCCGCCGCCGGCGTTCAATGTTGAACGCCGTCTGCGATCCAGAATCGGTTGACCCTGACTCCGGATCCGCCCTACTTTAGCTTTTTTTTTCCAACTTCAAATTGCGTCGGAAATCCACCTACCAGAGGCCGAGAAAGTAGGGCGGAGATTGCTGCACCCGACATCAAATAGGGCGGACATCCACAGAAACAGCAACAGAAAAGTAGGGCGGAAATTGGCATCAGCGGGGCTTGAAATTGGCGGTCTAGGGCTTCCCAGGCTCGCTTCACATCTGAGATCCCAGTCCTCGGGAGCCTCGAGAAAATCGAGGCGGAGGTTTTTCCTAGTTTTCGGCCTCGGGAGGCCCTCGCCGGGCCTCGGGACCGTCAAAAAACGGCTCGGGATGAAAAACTGGTCCCAGGGAAGTGGTCGGGAGGTCGGGGGCCCGCGTCTCGAAAACATCGAGACGTCGGATGTCTGGGATCCGACGTATATCGAAAACATTGGGCCAGCCGGAGAAATCACGACTGAAGCCCCGGACCCCATCTCTCTTCACTGGCTTTCGGGTCACATACCCGGGCTCTCCGGCGGCCGTCCGGAACGACCTGGGCGCCCCCGGAACGGCCCTGGACGCTCCCGGGGCCCGGCGATGGCCTCGAGAGGCCGAAGACGGCGAGAAACTTCCGCCCTGTATTCCCAGACATCCGACGTCTCGATTTTTTCGGGACGCGGGCCCCCGACCTCCCGACCACTTCCCTGGGACCGGTTTTTCACCCCGAGTCGTTTTTGGACGGTCCCGAGGCCCGGCGAGGGCCCCGAGAGGCCCCAAACTGTGAAAGACCTTTGCCTCGATGGTTTCGAGACGCCCGACGAGTGGGAATTCCCTATGTACGGCGGGATCGCGTCGAGGGCCCGAAGGCGCCCCTCGAGCGCAGCGCCGCGTGGGGCTCGCCGCGCGCCCGAGAGGGCCCCGCCCGCCCAGCGGGCCGGGGCGGCCTCCCGGCGCCCCCAGTGGTCCGCGGGCGATGCCGCCGCGGCCCGCGTCCGCCCGGGAGCCGACGAGGCGCGTGTGCGAGCGGCCCGTCGCGGACCTGGAGGTTCGGCTGCACGTCGGCTCCCAGACATCGGGCGTCTCGAAAAAATCGAGACGGAGGTTTTTCGCAGTTTTCGGCCTCTCGGGGCCCTCGCCGGGCCTCGGGAGCGTCAAAAAACGACTCGGGATGAAAAACCGGTCCTGGGGAAGTGGTCGGGAGGTCGGGGGCCCGCGTCTCGAAAAAATCGAGACGTCGGATGTCTGGGCTTCGAGCCCAGACGTCGGGCGTCTCGAAGCAAAGATCGAGGCGGCGGTTTTTCGCACGGAGTGCTTCGGGCGCCTCGGGGCCCTCGCCGGGCCCTTTGGGCCGTCGGCGGGCGACTCGGGACGCAGAACCGGCCCCGGGGAAGTGGTCGGGAGCTCGGGGGCCCGCGCCTCGCAAACATCGAGACGTCGGCTGTCTGGGTCGGCTTCGGGTGGCCCTTCGCCAGCTCGCGGCCCACAACCCACCAGACCGCCCCAGCCCAGCCCGAAGGCCCCGAGGTGCTCTCCACTTCCAGAATCCAGACATCCGACGTCCCGATGTTTTCGAGACGCGGGCCCCCGACCTCCCGACCACTTCCCTGGAACCGTTTTTTCCTCCCGAGTCGTTTTTTTACGCTCCCGAGGCCCAGAGAGGCCGAAAACTATTGAAAAAAAACGCCTCGATTTTTTCGAGACGCCCGATGTCTTGGAAGGGGGGGGGGGTCGGGGAACATGGGAAACGCACATGTGGATTCCGCCCCCCCCCCCCCCTGCCCGAAATTCGGGTCTTCGGGTTGGGTTGGGGTGGTCCGGTATACGTGGCCAGCGACCTTCCCAGACCCCCTCGCGTCAGGAAAAAAGTCACGACGGATTTCTTCCCAGACATGATCGCGTCGTAAAAAATTCAGGACGGCTGATTTTTCAGTATTTTCGGCCCCTGGGGACCCTTACTGGGCCCCGGGACCGTCAAATAAACATTCATAATGACAAACTGGCCCTGCATGGGGAAAGGATCGGGACTTCCGGAGGCGCCGTCCTGAAAAAATCAGGACGTCGCATGTCTGGGTTTGTTTCTCGCCATGTTCGGCCTCTGGGGGCCCTCGCCGGGCCCCGGGACCGCCAAAAAGCGACTCAGGAGGAGAAACCGGTCCGGGGTCGACTTTGGGGGTCGACGTTCTGAACACAACCATGACGTCGGGGGTCTGGGTTTGGTGCAGGCCCGCAGGTCTAGGCCTCCGAGATGGGGTCCGAGTAGATGGTGTCGGAGGATCGTGCCGCATCGCCGATGCATCGGCGACGCTGGCGTGGAGAAAGTCGGGCTCCACATCGAGCCGCATCGCCGATGCATCGGCGATGCGGCACGATCCCCCGACCCGATCTACTCGGACCCCATGGGATGTCTGTATTTTTGTTCGATGCGGGGTGCCCGGAATCCCCGACCCTTTCCCCAGGGCCGGTTTCTCATCCCGAGAACTACTTTTTGACGGCCTCCCTGCAATGGAGACCCATGCCGCCAAGAAACACCTTGCTTGCCTTCAGGGTGCCATGGGTTTCTTGGGTTTCGATGTTTTTGCTATGGAAAGCGCGACGTTCCCACATCAAAAATCAATGGACGTCCTGGGGTCTCAGGGTTGTGCTTCTCTTGTGAAAGGTTTCTTGTGGACTGGCCTCCACTGTAGGCCGAAAACGGCTAGAAACCTCCTGTCGCGATGTTGTTCACGCCGCAGGCACGTCCCTGCTTAGTGCGGGCCCAGAGGGGTCCACCCGAGCACTGGCCTCTGCGCGCTTGGACCCTGCGATCTGACGCTGGAAAGCAAGATCGGCATCGCAGAAAATCACGGACAGAACCCCAGAGCCCATCTTCCAGCCTCCTCCTCCTCCTCCTCCTCCTTCTCTCTCCCTCCTCCTCCTCCCTCCTCCTCCTCCTCCTCCTCCTCCTCCTCCTCCTCCTCCTCCTCCTCCTCCTCCTCCTCCTCCTCCTCCTCCTCCTCCTCCTCCTCCTCCTCCTCCTCCTCCTCTCTTCTTCCTCCTCCTCCTCCTCCTTCTCCTCCTCCTCCTTCCCCCTCCTCCTCCTCCTCCTCCTCCTCTTCTCCTCCTCCCCCTCCTCCTCCTCCTCCTCCCTCCTCCTCCTCCTCCTCCTCCCCTCCGCCTCCTCCTCCTCCTCCTCCTCCTCCTCCTCCCTCCTCCTCCTCCTCCTCCTCCTCCTCCTCCTCCTCCTCCTCCTCCTCCTCCTCCTCCTCCTCCTCCCCCTCCTCCTCCTCCTCCTCCTCCTCCTCCTCCTCCTCCTCCTCCACCTCCCTCCCTCCTCCTCCTCCTCCTCCTCCTCCTCCTGCTCCTGCTCCTCCTCCTCCTCCTCTCCTCCTCCTCCTCCTCGCTCCGCTCCTCCTCCTCCTCCTCCTCCTCCTCCTCCTCATTCGCCCTCCTCCTCCTCCCCCCCCTCCTCTCCTCTCCTCCTCCTCCTCCTCCTCCCTCCTCCTCCCTCCTCCTCCTCCCCCTCCTCCTCCCCTCCTCCTCCTCCTCCTTCTCTCTCCTCCTCCTCCCTGCCTCCCTCCCTCCCTCCCTCCCTCCCTCCCTCCGTCCCTCCTCCTCCTCCTCCTCTCCTCCTCCTCCTCTTCCTCCTTCTCCCCCTTCTCCTCCTCCTCCCCCCCTCCACCGCCCTCCTCCTCCTCCTCCTCTTCCTCCTCCTCCTCCTCCTCCTCCTCCTCCTCCTCACTCCTCCTCCTCCTCCTCCTCCTCCTCCTCCTCCTCCTCCTCCCCCTCCTCCTCCTCCTCCTCCTCCTCCTCCTCCTCCTCCTCCTCCTCCTTCTCTTCCTCCTCCTCCTCCTCCTCCTCCTCCTCCTCCTCCTCCTCCTCCTCCTCCTCCTCCTCCTCCTCCTCCTCCTCCTCCTCCTCCTTCTCCCCCTCCTCCTCGTCCTCGGGAGGGAGTTGTCCTGTCTTACAGTTGGGGGGTGGTGCCCATTGCGGAGGCACCCCTCCAGGCCGCGCGGGACGGCGAAGATTATGCGATCCTCCAGCTGTGTCTCAATGCTATCATCTTCAGTGGGACCAGCCTCCATATAGATTGTGCTGGCATGGTTGAGTGCGCTCGGGATCCCAGGTCTGCCGCTGGCCCTGAGAATGCAAGGGCCCATTGGTGGGCTCAGGTGCACGACAAGCTCGATGATTGCACTGTGTGGAAGGTCTCGCCCCATTGTACACAGACGGACGTGATTGAGGGCCGCCTGACTCGTGCGCAGTGGCTTGGTAATACAGCGGCTGATATGTATGCGCGCCGTGGGGCCGATCTTTTTCGCAGCGATCTCGCCGATCGTCTCGTCATCATCGGCTGCCATGAGATTGCTAGGCAGGTTGCTCGCGTCTCGGCTCGTCAGGAGGCCATGATCGCAGATGCTGGTGTCTTCGACCACGTCTCGTCAGATTGGCTTCGCGAGGTCGACCTCGGCTCCTTTGAAGTGCCGCCAGGTGTCCTCGAGGAAGGCGTTGGGGACGGGGGGGCGGGAGCGTCGTCCGTCGTCGGAGGAGGGGGCGCGACGGCCAGCGGCGTGGCGCAGGACGCTGACGAGGTGTCACCCTCCCCCGTCCGCCCGCCTCCAGGGGAAGAGGCTTGGGCCCGCCTCAGGCCGTGGAGGGCTAGAGGCCATTCCTGCATCGAAGCTCCAGTGACCTCGGCAGTCGGGGCTCCTTTGGGACCCGTGGTCTTTTGCACCACGTGCGGGTCCATCGGCCGCCCTGGGACTGCTTGGGGTCGGAGCGCTCTCGTGTCGGACTGTCTAGGGTCCCGTCCTCCAGGCCGCGAGCGGCAATTGGTTCGGATTTTGCAAAGGCAAGCACCCGTCCCGCAGGGAACGCCGAGTCGGAGCAGCGCGCTCGCTCTCCGACGATTCTCGGACCCCCCTGGCTTCGAAGTCAGGCCCAGGAGGTGCACCCGAGCTTGGACCCGACCCCGCTGTTGAGCGGATGGGGGTCGATCTCATCCGAGGCCTTGCGCTATTTGGTTTCTCCTCCCCCGCTCAGGCCGAAGGCCTGGGACAGCAGGTCCTGGACAGCAGACGCCGCGTGGAGGCTGATCTCTCGGACGATGGCTTTTAATGCCCTTCTCTGGATGGGCGGGCTGTCTTTTGGATGCATGTTTAATGCGGTGGCACCTTCAGCTGGCGTGGATCTCCTCCTCCTCCTTCTCCTCCTCCTCCTCCTCCTCCTTCTCCTTCTCCTCCTCCTCCTCCTCCTCCTCCTCCTCCTCCCTCCCTCCTCCCTCCTCCCTCCTCCCTCCTCCCTCCTCCTCCTCCTCCTCCTCCTCCTCCTCCTCCTCCTCCTCCTCCTCCTCCTCCTCCCTGCTTCGAGCCGCCTCGGTCTGTGAGGGTCCTGGAGCCCGAAGGCTGGCGACAGCGCCCGGCTCGAAAAACTGGAGGCGCCAGGGTCTCAGGGTCGTCCCACCCCCTGAGGTCTTTTCCGGCCCTCACTACCCAGACGTGATCGCGTCGCTAGAAAATCAGGACGAAGGATTTTCGCTATTCTCGTCCTCCAGGGGCCCTCACCGGGCTCCATGACAGTCAAAAAGCGACTCGGGACGAGGAGGAGGAGGAGGAGGAGGAGGAATCACGGCGGGAGGTCTGTCGTTATTTTCGGCCTCCCGGGGCCCTCGCCGGGCCCCGGGACCGTCCACGAACGACTCGGGACGAGAACCCGGCCCCGGGGACTCGGGTCGGGAGCTCGGGGGGTCGACGCAGCGAACCCAGACCCCCGACGTAATGATTTTTTCATTACGTCGACCCCCAGAGGTCCCGACCCCTTCCCCATGACCGGCTTGGCATCCTGAGTCGTTTTTTGACGCTCCCGAGGCCCGGCGAGGGCCCCCGGAGGCCGAAAATTAGGAAAAACCTCTTGTCATGATTTTTTCATTACTCGAGGGGGTCTGGGGGGGTCGACGCAGCGAAGAAAACATGACGTCGGGGGTCTGGGCGTTCGGGTCGCACCTCGGCCCTCCGGCGGCCGCCCCAGGACGCCTT